ACGTAATGAGGCTGCTTCACTAGTTCATTCTAGCGTTGCTGGTTCTGGTGAACAGCTTGGTTCAGGAGATACAGATGTGACACAGTCTGGTAATGAAGGTGTTGCTGGTGCTGATGAACAACTTGGTTCACGAGATGAAGAAGTGATACGCTCGGGTAATGAAGGTCTTACTTAGGCTTTGCCCACTGATAGTCAAGGCGATGTAATAGTGAGTATAAATGGTCACCATATGATAACAGGCAATAAAAAAGGTATTTTTAAGCCAACATTGTATACTGCAGTGCAAAGTAATGATGAAATATAACCCATTTCAGTTCATGAAGCTCTTAAATCTACGGTATGGAAGGCAACATTTCTTTTTGAATATAAAGCATTGATCAAGAATCATACTTGGTCACTGGTAACTTTGACAGATGGAAGATCAGTCGTGGGGTGTAAGAGGTTGTTTCGAGTCAAACAAAACACGGATGGAATGATAGAAAGGCACAAGGCCAGGCATATGGCAAAGGGGTTGTAACCCCCTCAGACTGATGCGGATAACCCTATCCGATCTGGAGTGTCACATTAGGGCCACCGGAGCAACCCACTGTAAAAATAGCAAAAAAATTAAAAACTTTTCTTAAAACTTGTAAACTTATAAAATTATTTATGAGTACAAAATAAAAGTTATTAGTATTCGAAATAAACCAGATTTTTAGACTCGTATATAAAACAAAGTACAATTACATGCCCCTAATCACATGTACCATCCACTGCAAGCAACGCCGAAAAAACTCCCTTATTAATGTAAATGGCTGCACTAGTACAATTCTTTTAACATGCAATAATTAGTAATAAAGTGAGCTTCGAAAAGCTCAGTAATACAGAACTACCAGATGATGCTACATGACATGCAGATAAATAGAAAACCATATAATTTCCTTATTGAATCAGACGTATACCAGTTGCGAAATAATCTGGGTTTCCATTAGTAGTTCATCGAGTTGAAGCCATGAAGATCACAGTTCATAGGAAGCATTCAAAGTATGAAATTTTCAGGAGATCGAATAGGATGTCTAGTGCGTTCCAATCAAAACCAATAAAAAGATATAAATCTTTTTAAAACTATAGTGGAACCCTCCAACCAAACTCCAATATACAGTTCCCCAGAACTACGTCCGTAGGGCTTACCCTAATCACACAGTAAAGAGAGCCAACCTAAGGATATGCCTTAGGGCCCATGGGCCCACCCAATGGTATCATTAGGTCCGTAAGGTCTTATCAGTTGGATCAAGGTTGTACCTCCATACTCCATAATACTATCCATATAAAAATCTGATAGAAATCAATTTTAGCCATAAAACGTAATACCTTGACCGTTATCCAGTAATATGTCATAATCGTAATAATGAAATAAATCGTATAACTGATTTCTACATGTACACCATAAGTAGTCCAATTATTAGCCTAAGGGAGTGCCTTGGGGCCTGAGAGCCTACCCAAGGATCACCTTAAGTCTGTAAGGATTTACCAGCTTGATCAGAGCTGTACCTCCATACTCCAGTCTACCTATATAAATATCCCAATAAAACAATTCCATTAGTAACCAATATTATTCATGGTCCATAAAACAATAACCATCATTTTATTCTGGTGAAACAAGAAACCTGATAACACATTTCAGGTACCCATAATTCATAAACCAGTAGATTTCATGATTCTATAAATCAGGAATAATTCATAGTTTTTTATGAAAATCGTAATCAAATATCACATACCATGTTGCCATGGTTCATAAACCAGTAAATCAAATAATTTTGTTAAAACTCATTTCAAAACATATAAAACTGTCATGTAGTACATGTGGAACACACTAGAGGATCCAGATATTTTTCAGAGACATTTTGTAGTTATCAGTATGGATAACTTGAAACTTGTGCAATTTGATCGGATTCCGGGAACGAAGTTTTATTGGTAAGAATCGATTACAAACCGATCTAATCGGACAATTAAAGTTGATACTTTATAATCCCACTATGTTTTCATTTGCATCCGGAGTAACCAGAGTGATTTGAGTCGATAAAGAAGTACTGAAGATTCAGGACATTTACCATTTATATTAATCGATTGAATTATCAATCAACTCCCATAACCGATGCTTGTCGACAGCTCAATTCATTGTCCTTCAATGTTATTAACTCTTTAATACCAAACTGCATATACATAGATCATCTCCAGAATCATCGATGAATATATCCTCCTGTAATCTTTACATTCTTTTCCACGTTTCAACAATATCAAGAACTTTATTTGTGGTTTATTACCATAAGGACAATTCATCATGTATGTTCAACAGTGTTTCCAGACTCATCCAATCACTTATTTAATCCTCAGTCATTGAGGTTACTTCGTTCATTTAGCAATCACTTTTATCCCGGTTACTTCAGAAATTTCCAATGTAATTCAGACGTTTTCTGAATTATTGATACATATTGTACTTTCGTTCAGTTTAGTTCGGTATTAGCGGTTGATTTTTCCTACAAATATCAAATTCTTAGTACTGAATGCGATCTAGAGTTGAGTTGAGCTTAATACTTCCAAAATTATCATTGAGCCCAAACTTGAGAAGTCGAACAAGCATTCAAGTGACACTTATGTCGTTCTGGTACTGATATAACACTAACATTGGTTGCTCGGGTTAATATGTGATCCATAACTTTTTAGAGCAGTACCACACTCATGATTATTTGGATTCCTTAATTAATCCAAGACATCTACTTAGTTTATGCCATAAGAGTATTTCAGTCATTTTATAGATCCCACGTATTTTAATCAGTTCCTTCCGTCTGATCTTATTATTTAATTCAGAATTATCATCTATTACATTCTATACGAACAATTCTGACAGAAGAGCACCCTCAATAATTTATTCTTCAGGTATTTACTCATAACTCGAAGATTTCAATTTAAATACCTTCTCAGATGTTACTAACGAATTATCAGAAATTTCCATAAAAAAATAGGATCTCAACAAGTAAATCAGTAATTTATCGAGTTAAAAATGAATCCTCAAAGTACTTTCTCATTCAGGGTCAACTCGGACTATTTTTACTTCTAAAGGGTATTTTCGTAATTTCTTAACCAGATAATTTCAATATTAACTCTTAACAAAAATAATTATACTTTAGAGATTCAATGGTTAATTGTTTTCCCGAACATTCTTTGATCTCGAAATGATTCCTTAACAGACCAATATTATCTTATTCATGCATTTATTAATATTCACATGTTCCATAAAGCATAAATAGGTAGTAAAGTATTACCTTGATTTTCGTGCCGTACTGATCGACCAAAAAAATTCCATTTGAACGCCCTCGATCTTGAAATCATCTTCCAATATTTCCTCGGATCCATATCAACAGAAATTACATCAAAAACGGAGCTTAATTCTGAAAAACGGATCGAATCGGATGATAACTCAGTGAAAAACAACTTACCGAGTTCGAATTTGATGAAACAGACTTCGGATTCGGATTCAGGACGTCGAAAACATAAAATATGACTTTTTGAAAATTTGGAATTTTCAGTCAAAATCAAAGTCAAAGGGTTTGACTGGCAATTTCGAGGCCTTCGAGTCAGAATTTCAAAAAACGGACAGCAGAATCAGAGTTGGAACCTCGTTAAACATCAGGATAGGTATACTTGGTCAAAGTCAAAGGTCATTTAATGCACGGTCAAAGCTGGTCAAAGTTATGGTCAACTGTGGTCAACGCCGGTCAACGGTCAAAAGTCGACCATTTTACACAAATATCACCCTAATTGAAATTAATTACCAAATTATCCACATTCTACAAATATTTACAAAACTAACACCCAAAGTTTACACAAATAGCACCCAAACAGAAATTAATTACAAAATTAACACCCAAACGATGCCCACTCTCGGGGGGTGGCGCGTGCGGCGCGTAAACAGTAACACAGTGTTGGAAAATTCCCGAAAAAATTCCTAAAAATTATTTTAAGCGATTTTGAGGCACATACAAAGCTTGGTTCACAATTTTGAACGGCAGAGAGCTTCATTCCGAAACGTCGGTAACTTTGACGGTCTCACCCCTCCACGCGTCGGCGACGACGGAGAAATGGAGAACACCGGTGGACTCGGAATGATGCAAGGAACAATATGATGCTGGAGGTTTCGAAAACAGATCGTTGTGAATCGACGAAAAACCAACTGAAATCGAGTTATTACCGACGATACTTTCAACTGAAATTAACGACGAACGGCGACAATTCACGACGAAAAGTTTGAGGGGTTTTGTTTCTCGGTCGACAACGAAGACGATGGTGGTTTCGGTTTGTCGATCGAAGGTCGGACGCCAAGTAGATCGGAGTTGAAAGGAGGGTTGTTGGAGAGGGAAAACTATAAATTTTCTGGAAACTGCGTACGGGAAGGGGGTTATATTTTCTCATAAAGAAAAATGGTTAAACTATGAGTTTAGCCACTGAATTTTCTACACTTTATAAAATAGTCTGCCAATTTTGAATTTTTACAATTTAATCCTCCGTTTCTTTCAAAATTCCAATTAAATCCACCACTTTATAATTTTTAAATTTTAGCCCCTAAATTGGGGTGTTATAGGGGTACTTGCAAACACATGGACAATACTTTCAAGAGACGTTGAGTCCAATAATCAAGTTATCCAAAGTGAATGTTGTGTTGACTTTGGCAACTCGAAATCGATGAAATTTACGACAAGTTGATATAAATAACGCCTTTATAAATGGTGATTTACATGAGGATGTGTTTATGGAACAACCACAAGGTTTTGAGACGCATATAAAAGATGGGACTGTGCTAGTCTGTAAGCTTAGAAAGGCCTTGTATGGCTTGAGACAAGCGCCAAGAAGACGGTATTCAAAGTTGCGAGATTTCTTGATGAGTATTGGGTTTCGGATGTCTTGTGCAGACGACTCCTTGTTTATAAAACATGGGAGTAGTGGGAGTACATATGTGCTAACATATGCGCAGCTTGGTTGGTTCATTGTTGTATGCATGTCTCACTAGGCCGGATATCGCTTATATTGTAAATAAGTTGGCTCAATTCATGCATAAACCCTGTGAACAACACCTAGTGGCAGTGAAAAGTGTGCTGAGATGCCTAAACTGTACACTTGATTACGGGTTAGCGTTCTTCCCTTCTTTAGAAAATCTTCAACTCATCGCCTTTGCTGATGTCTATTGGGGAGGAAGTGCTGATGAAAAACATTCAATCTCTGGTAGTTGTGTTTACTTGAGTGGTAACTTGTTGATATGGGGATCAAGGAAGCAAAAGATATTATCTCAGTCTACCACAAAGGTCGAGTATCGCAGCCTAGCTGATGTAGCGTCGGATACAACTTGGTTGGAGGAATTGTTAAGCGATATGAGGGTGACTATGGAAGCTGTGCCAGTCATATGAAGTGACAGCTGGAGCATGATTGCGATGAGCGCGAAGCCAATGTATCACTCTAAAACCAAGCTTGTGGAGCTTGATATCCACTTTGTGAAAGAAAAGGTGATAGCAGACAAGCTTAAAGTGAATTATGTGCCTTCTGCGCATCAGGTGACAGATGGCTTCACTAAGGCATTGTCAAAGAAGTATTTTGTTCTGTTCAGACGAAAATTGGGGGCACTTCCGTTTCAAGAGGTTGAAGAAGGAAAGGACAGGGAAGATATTGGAGTATTCTAGAAGTCTTGTAGCAGTTGTACATATGGTTATCTAGCTTTGCCAGCTAGACCTAGTTTGATAGAGTGGTTGAGTGTAATTACCACCTTAGATCTGTGCATAAATATTGTCCAGCAGCTAAAGAATAAAGAAGTGAATAAAAAGTACATCTTTCTCAGTTTATATTCTTCGACTATTTTCTTAAGTAGAGGGTATTTCTTTGTATCAAATCCAAATTCTTAACGGATGATAATATAAATTTTAATGAATAAAAATTATTATATAATGTAAAATATCATTTTTTTAGTTTGATATGATCTCTGTTATACAATTGGTTTTTGTATAATTTATATACTTATATATTTACATAATCTGATTGTTATTAGTTGATTTTTTTAATATAATTAAATATTCACAATAAAATATTGATATAAAAGAACTAAAAATATTTTTAAGCATAAATTTATTAAATTAAATTATTTATTAATTTTTTTATTTATAAATAGTTTTTAACATCAAATTAACATGATTAAAAAAAATATTTACATGAACACGTTCATAAAAATAGACACGTTCATAAAAATAGTTAACTTAAAAGATTGAACTGACTAATAACATCATAAAAATATAGCACTGAAATTATACCCATGCATATGGAAATCGTAAATTTTTTGCAATTTATGGATAGTGTGCACCTGAGAATTGTGACCTCAAAATTCATATCTTTAAAAATGAATTATCTAAGCAGAAAAATTATTATAATATAAAAAAGAAAAACCTCTAACCATTAAAACAGCATCAGAGCAACATATGCAGCAATTGCTTAAAATTGTAAATTAAAATTTAGAAGGAAAATTTTTATTTAAATAACATTTAAACCACAAGAAACTTAAATTTCAATTAAACAAATATTTTTATTTATTTAGAATATAGCTATTAATATTTATGTTTTATTTGATTATTTTATATTGAAAAAATAAATATGAAATATATTCATTATTTATGAATATATTTTTTACTATTACTAAATATTCAATATAAATATATTTGCTTAATGTTTATAAACATATTAGTTCAATGCTTATAAACATGTTTATTTAGTATTTAGTAATATATATTCATTTAGTATTTGTGAATGTAAACACCAAAAATAAATAAACATACATAATTTTAGAAAAATAAGCATGAACACAATTTTAAAATTATTAAAACTATGAATTGAACGCAAATGAATTTATAAAATAAGTTGAGACATATTAGTTGAAATTAAGTTCATTTTCTATGAGTTCGAGCCACAAATAACTTAAAGTATACATTTTAAACCTTACCTTTTAAAACTTATTATATTTTGTCTTACATTTCAATCACTTGCAATAATTTTTCTCATCAATCACTAAAATAGTTTTAAACCATTAATGAACAACAAGTTTAATATTTCATGTTGTGATCTAATGCCTGGAACTAAGTTATAAATAAAAATTTAAATAGCTACAGAAACACTCCTTACTCAATTAATCTTTGCTTTTACCTACGCGTGAGACACAACACATGTTAAGCATTTACTTAGTGAGATCAAATAGGGTAAAGAACATTAAAGTATACATAAGTATCTCATGGTTATTTGACTTCAAACTTAGTTGTATCATCCATAGTAATTAGTTAAATCATACTTATTATAACCAAACCTCGGTCATATTATCCTCATAACCAACTTTAGTATATCAAACATACTTTTCTTTAGTTCATTTTATTCATAATGTCATGGTCTTTTTTCATACCTTTTACTTATGACATCCATTCATACCTTTTACTTATTTCATCCTTTCATGCCTTAATGCATCATTTCATGCATTTTACTTATGGCATCCTTCCATGGCTTAATGCATCATTTCATGCATTTTAATTATGGCATCCTTTCATGCCTTAATGCATCCTTTCATTCCTTAATGCATGATTTCATGCATTTTTATTATGGCATCCTTTCATGCCTTAATGCATCCGTTCATGCATTTAAGTTATGGCATCCTTTCATGCCTTAATGCACCCGTTCATGCATTTTAATTATGAAATTGATTTAGAGAAGTTCATACTTAAAAATTCATTCATAATATTCTTTTCATAATATAAAAATCATTTTCATACATATAAAAACATATATAAATTTAAACATTCTAATTTGAATGTTCTTTCTCCTACATACTTACAACAAGATACTCACCTGGTAATCCCCGCTAATAAAGTGTAGAGACTTCTGACTAATCAGCAACTTTATCTTTCTCCCTTATCTTGCTAGATTCAGGAGCTTGGTTCTGATCTTTAGCTTATGATGAAAGCTTCTCACGTGAAAGAGGAAGAAGAGAAGAGTTGACTTTTCTTTTTCCCTTTTATCACTTTACTTTAATATACTATATAAAATGAATTTTAAATTCATTTTATTCCAAATAACCAAAATGCCCTTTTTAATCCTCCATTACTACAATTTAGTCTAAACTACTATTCCCAAATCATTCTCATCTTTATCAATTAATCAAATAGATTCTCAAATTTTAAATCCTTTCAAGCAAGTCCTTAATTAAATTTTTGGGGCATTACAATTCTCCCCTTCTTAAGGAAATTCATCCTCGAATTTAAAAAAGTACATGGAACGAATAAATGTGGAAACTGCTTTTTTCATATCCTCATCTCTTTCCCAAGTAGCCTCTTCTACTTAATGATTTTGCCAAAGCACTTTAACCAATGGAATCTTTTTGTTACGCAATTCTTTGGTTTCCTTAGCCAAGATCTACACTGGTTCGTTATCATAAGTTAAATTTGATCGGATTTCTATTTCTTCAGGCGTGATACATGAGAGGGATCTGATATGTACCTTCTGAGCACCGACACATGAAAAACAGTGTGTATCTTATCCATATCTTGAGGCAATGCTAATGGATAAGCTGAGGGTTCAACCCTTTTTAATATCTCAAACGGTCCAATGAATATTGGACTCAGCTTTCCTTTTCGCCCAAAACGAATTACATTCTTCTAAGGCGATACTTTCAAAAATACTTTGTCTCCCTCTTCGAATTCTATTTCTTTTCTTTTTAAATCTGCATATGACTTTTGTCGATCTGAGGCTATCTTTAGATTGCTCTGGATAATCTTCATGTTATCCTCTATATCTTTCATCAAATATGGGCCAATCAAATCCCGATCTTTTAATTCAAACCAATTTAATGGTTCTGTATTTTCTCCCATACAGAGCTTCATATGGGGCCATCTTAATACTTGATTGATAACTATTGTTATATGCAAGTTCTGCTAAAGGAAAATACCTTTCCCATGATCTCATAAACTCAATCACACATGCCCTTAGCATATTCTCTAGTATCTGAATAACTTTCTCTGACTGTCCATCTATCTGCGGATAAAAAGTTATACTGAAGTTTAATCGAGTACCCAATGACTCTTGCAAAGACTTCTAGAATCTTGAAGTAGATCTTGGGTCTCGATCGGACATTATTGATATCGGCACTCCATGCAATCTAACTATCTCCTTTATATACAACTCCGTAAACTTATTCATCGGGTAATCCACTCGAACCTGGATAAAATGAGCCGTCTTGGTCAATCTGTCTACTATTACCCATATTGAGTCCTTTTTACCCGGTGAAAAAGGTAGCCCCGAAACAAAATCCATTGTAACCCGCTCCCACTTCTACTCAGGAATGGTTATTGGTTGCAGTAACCCGGATGGCACTTGATGTTCAGCTTTCACTTGCTGACATATCAAACATTTGGAAACAAACTCTGTGACAGTTCTTTTCATGCTAGGCCACCAATAATGACTTTTAAATCTTGATACAACTTAGTACCTCCTGGATGCATCGTCAATGGGCTATAATGTGTTTCATAAAGAATATCTCTCTTCATGTCATCATTATCGGGAATGTAATGTCTTCCCCTATAATATAGACATCCATCCACTCTTATTTCGAAGTCTTTGGTCTCATTCTTTAAAACTTGTTCCAACCTCTCCAAACATTTCTCATCTTGACTTTATAGGTCTTTAATCCTATCTAAAAACATCAAATTTAACTTAAGCTCAACAATTAATGCACCATCTTTCTTTATTGACATATGCACATCCAAGGCATGTAAAGAGGTAAAAATCTTTCAGTTTAGTGCATCTGCTACCACATTCGCCTTTTCGGGATGATAATCGATAATCAGATCATAATCCTTTAGAATCTCAACCCATCTTCTTTGCCTCAAGTTGAATTCTTTATGAGTCAATAAATACTTTAAACTCTTGTGATCTGTGTAAATATGACACCGCTCACCATGCAGATAATGACGCCAGATTTTGCAGTGCAAACACAACTTCTGCCAATTCTAAATCGTGCGTCAGATAATTTTTCTCATTATTCTTTAATTGTCTTGAAGAATAAGCCAAAACCTTTCCATCTTGCATCAGAACACACCCCATTCCATTATGGGATGTATCACTAAACACAACATAGTCTTTTCCCGACTCAGGTTGTACAAGTACAGAGGCCTCTATTTCTATGCTCTTGAGCCTTTCAAAGCTTTCTTGACATTTCTCCGTCCAGGAAAATGACATATCATTTCATAACAATTTAGTTAGTGGCAAAGCTAACATTGAGAAGTTCTTCACAAACCACATATAATAACTGGCAAGTCCCAAGAAACTCCAAACTTTAGAAATATTCTTTGGAGTTTGCCAATCCACTATAGCTTGGATATTTCTTGGA